AAGATATCGGAGCTGCAGCTGCCTATATTAAAGGAGCCGAATAGCGAAAACACATTCCAAATATTCCAATCAATGGACACAGGTGCGCGGAATTATGAACGGACTACGGCTTACAAAGCTCGACACTGGCATCTGTATTATAGTTTGGATAGGTGCACTTTTGCTACAGAAGCGTACACTTTTGTGTGTACTGGACATAAAAATGAGTGTTGTTATAGTAACATCACAGATAATAACATCACATTTATAGTAACATTTTTTAAGGCATGAACGTTTACGAAAATGCGTGAATCATCATCATCATTTCAGCCACAGGACGTCCACCGCCTCATAGGCCTCCCCCAATGACTTCCACATCGCACGGTTGGTAGCGGCCTGCATCCAGCGCCTTCCTGCTACCTTTATCAGGTCGTCGGTCCACCTTGGGGGTGGACGTCCTACGCTGCGTTTTCCGATACGTGGCCTCCACTCCAGAACCTTGTTGCCCCATCGGCCGTGACCAGCGTGAATGTATGGAACAAATCACGAGAAGTATGATTCACATTTCTGTACCTACCTTTTATCTTTCTTTTATTTATTTATCTTTTACTATCCCTAATCCCATAGAATAATTTTTAAACATCAGAACTTAATTACACTGAAAAACAAATGCTCAAATGCCCACATTTTTAAACAGCTAATTTCTATAAAGCTTCTTTGTGCCTGGACAACGTAATGTTCCTTTGGACAAGTCCAATCACCAATTTAACCGAAATTTCCCTCAATGGGAATCGAACCTAGGACCTCTCAGTTGGTCTTACCACTAGACCACATAGACGGTTAAACTTTGATTCGATGAGCTGCCTATACCAATTACCGATTCCGTGAACACATGTTCACTAAAATATGGATCCGTACATGCCCCTACATCGCAGAATTCGCGACAAGCCACAAGTTGTGGAATAATTAACTCCGTATCTAATTGTTGACGAAGTCTCTACTAATGAGGGTTTTCGCGATTGAAAAATCCGCCAGATGGCAATCCGTAGACGCGAGGTCCAAATGCTGCATGATTGGTGGATTTTGACATATCTGTCAATGTCATGTCAAAAATAACCAATCATGCAGCATTTGGACCTTGCGTCCACGTATTGCCATCTGGCGGATTTTTCAATCGCGAAAACCCTCATTCTAATCGTTTTTGTAGAGCTAAATGAAAATTTCAAGTATATCTTTGTTCTCCAACTTTGCTTTTAATGCTAAGCAGCGCAGTTTATCTTTATTTTACTACTATTCTTAAGTGTCAGAATTTTGTTACTTTGTTTCTATTTATACCTCTTTATGTTTGGAAAATTCCTTTCACCAATCATATGTCACTTAAAACTGGTTTCAACTCGGGAAAACACAACACAAATATATCCCAACTAATATTATAAATGCGAAAGTAACTCTGTCTGTCTGTCTGTCTGTCTGTCTGTCTGTCTGTCTGTCTGTCTGTCTGTCTGTCTGTTACGCTTTCCCGCTTAAACCTCGCAACCGATTATGATGAAATTTGGCATAGAGATAGTTTGAGTCCCGGGAAAGAACATAGGATAGTTTTTATCCCGGTTTTTGAAACAGGGACGCGCGTGATAAAGTTTTTCTGTGACAGAAAAAATTCCACGCGGGCGAAGCCGCGGGCGGAAAGCTAGTTTATAATAAATCCCAACTAATAATATAAATGCGAAAGTAACTCTGTCTGTCTGTCTGTCTGTCTGTCTGTCTGTTACGCTTTCCCGCTTAAACCTCGCAACCGATTTTGATGAAATTTGGCATAGAGATAGTTTGAGTCCCGGGAAAGAACATAGGATAGTTTTTATCCCGGTTTTTGAAACAGGGACGCGCGCGATAAAGTTTTTCTGTGACAGACAAAATTCCACGCGGGCGAAGCCGCGGGCGGAAAGCTAGTAATTAATAATTGAAGAAGGCAAAGGCTTTGTCAACCAAGTTTATTTAAGTCCAAAATAAACATAAACTACAATAAGTCAGAAATCAATATCGCTATATTCAATTAATTACGTTGAAAGTCTTTCATGAATCTATTGAAAGGCTTACAAAGTTGAACGTTTGAATAGAAATACACCCTTTTCAAGCAAATCTCGAAAGAAAATCAATAAACACTCTGACTTAATAAATAGCTGTATTTTCTTACTCAAATTAGGTTCTATCGGAGCACAAACAAAGTATCTAATTCAGTCATTAAAGCCAGTATTTTGAGATTCTAAATTGCCCTGAGAAAACTTATACAGCCACTACAGACGAATTTACGAGATAGAAGCAGTATTTTTGTAGAATCTTTATCTAAATAGAGTCTACTCTCGATTGCTTTTTATGGTATCGTAGATAGAAAGTGTATGCAGTGGCGGATTAACAGATTGGCCGTCTGTAGGCTATGAGGGGGGGAGGTTAAGTTACATATGAATAAAGCTTACTAGGGCATTTTTTTTTTAAATTAATTCCCGGCAAGTTGGAGTACCTACCTATATTTAGATTTAAAAAAGTTATGAATTGAAGCTGCCGCCCCTTATGCCGCCTTAAGCTTCAGCCTACTCAGCCTGCTGATAAATCCACCACTGAGTATACAGGGTGGAATTTTGTAATGCCACCTGGAGGGAAAGTACTCTTATTATTGTTGATAGAAAATTTTACTCAAAGAAAAGATTCCTTTATTTTTTAAAACAAAGAGAACTCCATTCAAAGATTTTTGAAAATTTTTCGAAAATTCACTACCATAGGTACCATACAATTCTTTTTTAAATAATAATTAAAATAAATTAAGATGTCATGGTTTTCCTTTCATTTAATTTATCAAGTTTGTTAGAGAGATTTCATCCATAAACTCAACCCTAACGATCGATGCAATAAAAGTACAGGGTGTAATTTTTAACAAATTTTAGTTGGTTCGATTCTCGGGTGTGGCAGGCAAATTTTTGGAAATCTTTGAATGCAATTCTATTTCTTTTCAAAAATAAAGAAATGTTTTCTTTGAGTAAAATTTTCTATCTACATTATTAAGAGTACTTTCCCTCCAGGTGGCATTAGAAAATTCCACTCTGTATTTATGTACACATACCTACATTTTGCAAGGATACAATACCTATTTGTGCAAATAGGACAATGGCAAAAGAATGCAATGTTATTAATAGCATAAATTATAATAATTTATTATTTAACAATCTCATTTCCAGCATTTTCATATTCTAAAAGAATTATTCCAAACCAATTTATCCGTGCTAGAATATAAGGTCTCTATAAAATTAATGATCTGTTTGTTTCTCAGAGCCACTGTTTATTTACTCAACACAAACAATTTTAAAGGAAAATAAAGCAGACCCGTAAAATATTTGGTGTAGCCAACATTATTTACATGACTCATGACGATTGTATTGAATACGAGATCGTAAATCGATCGGTAGTATACTCGAGTAAACTCCACCGAATCGAGAGAGTAACTTTGCGATAAATGTGTCGGTTCGAGTTCCCGAGTTGTAGTAATAAATCGAGTACAGTTATCTGCGTTTGAATAAACATTAAAGGTGTAGAGAAGGAGTTTGTTATGCTAATTATAAATTTTGATCAAGAAAATTTAAATATGCAAATGACAAATGAGTTTGTGATAATAGAAAGTATTTATTTTATGGCAGGTGATCCTACGTCATAGGTTTGAAGATAATTGTACCAATAAAATTACCCGATCTTATTTATGCCTAGTTGGTCTAGTGCTCCTAGACATTGTTAAGGTCTGTATTACAAAAACAAACACAAGTCAGTCATAAATTCTGCCATGGATTAATATTTAAATTCGACTTTGATCTTTGTTCTGAATGCACCTCAGAATTGATGAAATACCCAAAAACTCATTTTTGCAAATAGGCTTTTAAAAAGCCCTTTTACACGTCCCAGTATTAACCTTACCACTGCTTCGGGACAATAAATGGGCCAGTGCTGAGAAGCCCTCTAAGTAAGTATGTAAGTACTCGTAGTTAAATGGCAAAAACTATGCGGGAAGTCTATCTAGATCACCTACGTCCTACACAATAGATGTTAGCAACTTCCAGTTTAGGCTATAGCAATTTTTCAAAAATACCCGCGTTGTTTTCGGTCAGCTGGGCTCACAGCGCCGACCAGTGTTTGCACAGGGCGGGTCAACCTGCTCGTACGAGTATGTGATACGACTATACAACCACCAAACTGTACTATCTGTATTTAAATTTTCTCTTATACCAGATGATATAAAAATCGACACCCAATAACCACTTACTTAATTATAAGTTCTTAAGATTTTTACTGTTATGTTACACTAGCTTTTGCCCGCGGCTTCACCTTGCGTGAAATTTAGTTTGTCACAGATCGTCATAAATTATAGCCTATCTATATGTTATTCTTGGTTATAAATAATAATACTGCAAAGTTTCATCATAATCCGTTCAGTAGTTTTTGCGTGAAAGAGTAACAAACATCCAGACATCCACACAAACTTTTGCATTTATAATATTAGCAGGACTATACAACCACCAAACTGTACCTACTATCTGTATTAAAATTTTCTCTTATACCATATTTCTTTCTCTTTCTACAAACTGGTTATTACCACTTACTTAAATTATATGTTCTTGAGATTTTTAGTAGTTATATTGTTACATATTTCAAAAGTAAACAAATAATGAAAATTTCAAGACAGTGTCACAGTGAAAACTTGATGCACACACCCCCAGCTCGATAAGTTCTTTTAAGAAACCTCAATTTTCAAAACTTCAATCAGAATTCCCTGTATAATTCTAAGCCCAGGCGCAGACCACCGACTTTTAATTGGCCAATAGTGGTGTCGGGTTGTTAATCAGTATGGAGATGTATGAAAGTGCAGATTGGATCGGCCGATTCTTCATACAAATTAGAATCGGGCCCAACTATCGGCCCACAAAAAGTCTGTTAGGCTAAAGACGTTCTGAACCTATCTAACCGCAATCCAAAAAACCTTTCAGATTATTCGAAGAAAACGAAGAGCTGCTGACCCTGTTCGAAAAATTCGAGGACCTCAAAACACAAGAGGCACTGGCCATCTCTACAGAGTTAGCAGAACACGCTACGAAGGTCATGCACACACTGGATGAGGGCATCAAGGGGCTGGGGGATATTGACGCCTTCTTCGCATATGTGAGGCATGTGGGGGCTACACATCACCAGGTGCCAGGGTTCAAGGCGGAGAACTTTTGGGTAAGTTTCTCTTCAGACACTTTCTGGCTGATTAAAGGACGAAGCACACTTGTCAACCCAGAAACGGATCGTAACTGTATCAACTCGAGGCGGTCAGTATTCGTTCGTTTCAGCCGAAAGACGTCCACTGCTGGACAAAGGCCTCCCCCAAGGATTTCCACAAAAACCGGTCCTGCGCCGCTCGCATCCAGGCACCTCCCGCTTCCATCACCAGATCGTTCTTCCACCTAGTGGGAGGCCTACCCACGCTACGTCTTCCGGCTCGTGGTCGCCACTCAACTCAACTACGGTCAGTATTATTTGTATGAAACTCTGTACTGCAACGCTGCCGTCCGGGTTGATAAGTGTGCTATGACCTTTAATAGGTCCCGTGATTGATTGGATCAATTTTATGCTTTAATACGGGAGGCTAAAGTGAACTGCGAGGGAATCAAGATGCCTGAGTGATTACGTTTCTAGTTTGACTACACTATTAGACGCTAAAGTTCAATCAAAGCTTAAAAACTTAATTTAAAGTTCTATAAAATAGACACGATAGCCGAACGGTGAAGAGGTCGTTCGGACTGGCCGATTTGTGAACCGGGGAACGCGGGTTCGGTCCCTGCCGGCGCTCGACTATTGTAGTGAGCTCACTCGTGACACAAACATATTTATTACGATTGCTTTACACAATTTCACCTCAGGTGGGACTAGTACCCAAATATTTTCTATTGCAGATCTTTAGGTAACATTAGGATTTTATATTCCATATTCCTTTCGTTATGCAAAACCTATCGCGAGAGCTAGAATAAAATACCCGATATCTAAACGCCCGGCAAAGTAAGTACCTAAACCTTTAACCCAAAAGTAAGTTAGCAACACGATGTACCTGAACTGTATGAACAGAGAGCCCAACTTCTGCCTTTTCCATAAAATAAATAAGCCTGTAGGTTTACTGTTAGTTAATATTCATCGCCCGCTTCTCACAAACTTGGCGGACCGAAAGCAAATGTAGTCTGCTCGCGTTAATTTCTTTACGAAGATTCTGCCGAAAATAGGTAAGATTCTTTTCTGTCCCATCTCTGATTGTTCCAATAACACTAAACATCATTACATAGTATAAAACATAGTACATATAAAACTGTCTGTCCCTATTATGTATGCTTGATCTAAGCAAATGTTTGCAAATGTATTCAAAACTACGCAATGGATTTTGATGCGGTTTTTTAACAGATAGAGTGATTCAAGTGGAAGGTTTATATGTATACTTAGCACCCGTGCGAAGTCAGGGCGGGTCGCTAGTTAAGAAATAAGCAAGATCAGAAGGATATAGCATCACCAGCCGGGCTAGGAATGCTACGATGCGCGCCCAATGAACATCTTAGTGCGCGCCATGATAAAATCTTATCGAAGATTTTAAACGACAAATGTATGGTTTTATCGTGCAAACTCGTCAAAATACCTGGATAAAAGTTACCTACCTTACTGGTTATTTAATGCAGCATGACAGTTTCTCATTCGCCAGAGGCAAGTGGATGATGTGGCCTACACTTCTCACGATAGCCAGATGGTATGGGCACTATGGGCAGGTCTGATGTTCGTATTTCGCAATATACGAGTACACTTGATTGTTCAGAGCGGTGTTAATCTATGGTTTAATATTTTTTATTTTATTTTATTTTATTTTTCTTTATTCAGAAAACCACAGCTCTTTATAATAATATAATACAAACAGGTATTTTTGTTCTTACAGCCAATAATGGATTCTATATATTATTACAATCTCGTAAAAAACAGTCAAAGGGTATTTGAAGTATTTATCGATAAACTATTTAGTTTTTTGTCTGCAACACGAATCTTTCAATATTTTCTCATAAGGTGGAAATTTTCTCTTAATTTATTACAACGAAGACTATATTACGAAGATATTTACAAAAATGTGAGCTATTTTCTGATGCAACTCAATAACGAAAATATTTGTTGCCCGAAAAATTTCCGTGATGGACCGACGTTTTCACTTCATTATTTATTATGCAAATATTCTTGAGTATAAATTGAGAACTATTTTTAAACTTTTAATAACAGCAACGGTAGTAAATAAGAGACTGATACAAAGCTTCAAACCAACACAAACCAATGCTTGTGAACCCATACTTGAGTTGAGTTTGATTCGAGTTTTGATTGTCGTTTTATAAATCAAACACATTATACGTACCTATAGGTCGTGGGTTCGATTCCCGACTTAGGCAATTTTTCATTTTTCAAGTTATTTATAATAATCAATTTTGTTTGAGATGCAACTGACGCTAAAAAATTAAATAACGACGTATATTAAAGTCATGAAAAACATGAAAACAGCACCGCAGAAAATAAAATAATATACGTGCATAGCCCACGGTCTTTTCTTCTTTCTCTAACGCACTTATGCATGCATGTACCGTATCATAAGAACGTAAAAGGTTGTACATACTTTACTTGAGACGCTTTGTTCTTTAACCTTTCGAAAAGGTAAAAGGAAGGTAAGAGGTCCTCTAATGAACTTACCTTTCTCTTTGTAGGAAAGGCATTGATTTATTTTTGAGTGCTACCCTCTGAATGCAATGACCGTTTTTAATTGGCCCTCCTCTTAGTTCTGTCGTAGACTTTAAATATTTCTGAAAGGGTAGATCGAGTTACTTTATTGAAGAAAGATTTCTAAATGGAGTTAAAGTGAAAAGACTTTCAATAATTCTAAAACAATAGTTCGTGTTACTTACCTAAGGTAAAAAGGAAAGGTTTACGTTTGCCACTGTATTGTATTTATTCGTTTCTCTTGATAGGCTAAATGAAATCTCATGTAAAGAGAAATTCAACCATATCGGATGGACGGACAACGATTTCCTGACTTTGGGTTAAGATAATCCTTATGAAAAAAGGATACTATAAAGTAAACGATTCTTTAAATGACAAGAGTGCGTGGATTTTACTTGCCTAGCTCACACTTATTGCGTGTCATGTAATCTATAAACTTCTATTCTATTGAAAAAGAGGCTGATAAAGGTGACTGAGTTTCTTCCGCCACTTCTTCTCAGCACCAGCCCATATGTTGTCCCGAAGTGGTGGTAGGGCAAGCTATATTTGGGACGTGTATAAGTGCCCTGGAAAGGGCCTTTGTACTGAATAAAATAATAAAGAATTTGAAATTTAATATGACCTAGAACACCAATCACCGGTCAAGTGATTTCTACAGCCGTAATAGACGAAATAGTCACTTTTCTATTCGGTAGTCGGCACATTACTATTTACAAGAAGATAGCGAAGACTAATCTGTCATAATATGTTTCATATTCTCTAGTCTAGACTCTATAGTTACATATTAGTAGGTAATATTACAAGATAAAATATTAAAATATTTCTTTTAAGCTCTCACAAAATATATCTTATATTTCTGAAGAACTTGTAACACAGACATAGTTACACTGGCAACATTTTTTCTCTCAGTTATTTTTCATTTTGTTCACGATTACAGAGCAATAAGAATTCCGTCCCGTTGGGTTCCCAGGCAAAATTAGGGTTCAGTGGTTTGATACGATACACTACTCTGAAAAATGTTTAGGTATTTAAAACAATAGGAAGGTACTACAATAGGTGATCCATCTGCTCGTTTGCCTTCTGTCACATAAAAAAAAACAATTTTTATGAGAGTGAGAGAAAACTCAATGCTATAGCCTGACCAGGAACATAAAAACCCTGGCATAGAGGCGCGTCAATTGCATTTGATAGTGCAACACTGAGTACAGTCGTACCTGTGTTAAATTAATAGGCTAACTTTATGTATCAGGATTCAGGATTACGGGCTAATTTGATATTTTCATAAATTAACGAAAAAATATTATTATAGGTAACCTGGTTTAAATAAATTAAATGAAACCATCAATCGAGCTAGTAGGATTTATTTTATTATTCATCAATAATCAAATTCAGAACTTGAATATTCAACTGCAATGTCTGCTCATGAACGCTTCAAACTCGGTACTTCTTTCCCAATTCCATAAAATTCAACACTTAGAAAGTGACAAAAAACTTTAAAATAGGTAGTTGAAACAAACCACAGCTAATTTTCATAGTGGACTGTACTATACGATAAACATGTCAGTCAATTTGACAACCTTTGTCGGAAACATTATTCAATGAAAATATTGTCCGAACCCTTAGTATTTCTCTTCGACAAATACTTTAACACATTGTGAACCACTTTTCTTTCACGACTATAAAAATATTTTAGCAATTTAATTCACAAAATCAATTGCGCACATTTAAAATAAAGTTTGTTTACACTTTGACAGCAATAGACTGACATGCAAGGTGACATGTCAATGAAGTTTTCAGTTACTGTTGCCATTAAAAGAAATTAGTACCATTAGTTTTCCGCAACATGGCGAGGGTTTTTATGTTCCTGGTCAGGCTATACCTATTGTTAAACGATTGGACCAATTGCGAATTGGACCAATCGCGCCTAAACGCTTGTAAAATAAATATTTAGGTATTCTCATTCACATAAGCCGTGTGGTGACGGCAGAGTAGAATACATTTGTCACCAACCCCTACTCTTCCCGCGGGTGTCGTAAGAGGCGACTTAGGGACTACACATCAAACAGAGAATGGGCAGCAGCGCTCTCTGAAAAACATCAATCTTTTAAACTGCGATCTCCAACCCGCCTGCCAAGCGTGGAGATTATGGCAAAACCCTCCACTATAGTGGAGGAGGCTCATAGTCCAGCAGTGGACTGTAAAGGGCTGTTGATGAATGAAAAAAAAAAAGGTATTCTCATTTTCCGCATCAAATAATGTATCTTTCTTTTCTTGAATCTACGCCTACGCAGCTAAACGAGTAAACTAAAAGATAAAACTACATACGGAATCCTTTATTAATTCAGAATATGCACTTGCCACTATTTTATCCGATTAGATAGCTGCCAGGCGTCTGTATGACACCGTTTATTGGCGAATACATTTCCTATAATACCTCCACTTACCTAAGAAATAAACAACATTCAACACAGCTTGGTCACCGTGAATCTTGTATAAGCTTCTTTCATATAAGTGGGTCACCAGGACAAAATGACTCAGGTGAAATAATTTGAAATGTCAATTCATACATAAGCACAATGTAGATATGATAGAGCTGTGTAGGCACGTAGGTATTTTTGTATCGTTCGAATTTCATTTCACATTACATCACCTTCATCAGGAAACTACAATATTCAGGACGAGTGTTTTTTAGTCTGAAAGAACTTAGGCAATATTATAATGTGAATTATGCCCGTATTCACAAACGATACTTGCTTAAGTGAAGCAGCAAATTGAACGCACAGCGTTGAATAGAGCTGTGTGATTGGTTCGTGTGTCACCCTGTACGTTCACGCGCACTGTGAGACCTCATAGTAATGTTTGTAAATACGGGCGTAAGACTTAAAATTTGCTTGTCAATTAACGTAAATGCTCGAAATACAACCTTTGTTTAGAGGCGAATGTTTGGATAAAAAAAATACTTCTTAATTCATCATCAGAACTTTTGTCTCAAATATGGCTTGCCCTACCGTCACTTCGGGAGTTGTACCGATATCGGCTGATAGTTATAACTTAAGTATTTTGGTTATTTTCTTTTCTAGTCTCAAAAAAGATGTTTCAAACGCTGTCCATTACGAACTCCTAAAATAACATCATACTTAATACGAGTTTAATATGTTTAATCCACGGGTCATATATTCGTAACAGTCTCAGAGCCCAACATTTACAGCTAGGTTACGCCCACGGCAAAAAACATTGCCTTCTGCTTCGCACATTCGCTACACCAGTTGTTATCCAGGCTGTGACAATAAAAGAACTCTATGTATATGGTAATAAATATGTAGTAATAAAATTGGTACGAAGATCCTAGCTAGTAATCTAGGCCCAATATAAGCAGAAATACTAACACCCCTTGTCACAAACGATCCTTGCTTAGGTGAAGCAGCAACGCTATGCGAAGTCGAACGCACAGCGTTGAATAGAGCTCTGTGATTGGTTTGTGTGTCACTCCGCCACTGAAGTATTGTCAATGAAAAGTCGAACGCACAGCGTTGAATAGAGCTCTGTGATTGGTTCGTGTGTTTCACCTCGCCACTGAAGTACAATTAATAGGTTTTTGGGACCGTGTGCGTCCACGCGCACTGTGAGACCTCACAGTAATGTTTGTGAATACGAGTGTATGTTCACTAGAATATGGATAAATGGAATTCCTGCTGTTATCTTTCCTGAACATTATAATCCGGGCCTCTTCAAGGCGATAGTAAATAGGCTGGACAGCTTTGTCAAATACCTACCTGGTTCTGCATAAAAAAAAAATGCTAAAACCTTGACTATGACCATGACCATGACTTGGAATATAAATGATAGTTTATCATTATAATATGCTTCCGATGAGAATCAAAACCACAAGCACAGCTTTGTATAGTTGTAACCATTAGACCAATCAGCCCAGCAACATGATTAAATAACTGTTGTAGCTTTCAGTTAGTTCGATCGTTCTTTTCAGCCAAATGACGTCTACTAGAGAAAAGCCTGCCCCAAGGACTTCTCGCGACGTCAGTCCACCTAGTGAGAGGCCTGCCCACACTACGTCTTTCAGCCCGTAGTCACCACTCGAGAACTTTTCATCGGACGCCCATCAGCTCTACGAGCATATGCCCCGCTCACTGCCACTTAATTTTGGCATATACCAATAATTGCTTTCAGTTTCCTATTTATTTATATTAACCGGCAGACAGTCGTGACTGAGTTTGTTGCGGCGCTTCTTCTCAGCACTTGCCAAATGTTGGTCTCGAAGCGCTGGTAGGGTAAAAAGATTATGAGACATGTAAAGGCTCCTTAAGAGCAAAATGACGATTTGTAAGAACTATTTATTAGTCTAAACAAATAAAGAAATTTTGACTTTGACTTTGACTTTGAGTAATGTCAGTTTATTTTTCACAGAAAATCGAGCAGCCGTTTCTGCAAGCAGCGAAGACGACGCTCGGCGACAGATATACGCCGAACATCGAAAATATCTACAAGAAAACCATTCGGTTCATACTGGAAAACCTAGTCAAGGGGTACGAGGAGTCAAGCAAAGAAAACGGGAACGGTCAGAATGGGCAGACTTGATGGATGTATAGTTTAAGCTGCAGTCACACGATTAATGTTAATGTTAGGCGTTAAAAGAATTTAATGATGTGGACATTTTTAACCCTAGATAGCTAACCTCCGTCGATTCGACGGGCATTGAAAAGAAATAACGTTGTAACTTTTTAATGCCACGTCCAAACGTTTTGTCCCGACTAGCCAACTCAGAGGCCCGGGAGTCCTTTGCAGTGGTGTAGGCAGTGGACAGGTAAGTTTCATAGTTTTTAGGATATTTGATCTTTGCCCGTCGTTTCGACGGATGGTTAGCTTTACCGTAAGTAATTTAGTTTGAGTGCCCGCATACATTTTTTTAATAAATTTGTAATTTTTTTATATTTTCATCTTGTTTTCGTTAAAAAACCATAAAATAATAAATCTACTACTATAAGAAGTTACTAACGATGCCCTGGATGCTAGTCATGCCCGTGAGACCGAAGACTTTCTGGTGGAAGATGATGAGCAAAGTAATCGTAATTATTAACCATCAGATTATGAGTAAAGTTAAGTAAACCCACCACCAGACCTGTCTTCAGACGTGGAACGTGATTCGTCAATTATTTCAAATGCCGGTCCCTCGGAAATTACAAAAATCAGCATTATTATCATATCAAAATATGCGGTAAACATAAAGTTGATTTTTGTGTCACTTGCGCTAAAAAGAAAAAAAATATTTTATGATTTTATTACTTTTAATGTTTTTACGTACCATATTAAGTAAAAAAACCGATTATTTTATTTAAAATTTTCATTGATATTGCATGTCAAAGTGGTTACTTACAAAATGTTAAAATTTCTTTAGAGGTCTAAGAAAAAATATTTTAATTTAATAAATAAATAAATAAGGTGAATTTAAATAATGCACATTTATTCGCAAATATATGAAGGAACCAAACTGTAAAAAAGACTTAGATTTTTTAAATTACTTCGTCCAAAAAATAATGTTTTTTTAATACCCGTCGTTTCGACGGATGGTTAGCTTAAACAGGGTACGCCGGAAGGTTAGCTATCTAGGGTTAAGAAATCAATGTCCGTTTTCACCATCAATCCATAATTTTTACGTGACTCACAAATCATAAGGTGGTAATACATAATTATTATAAATTTTGTTTTAATAGGGTTCACTTAAAAATTAGAGATTTTTTTGCCTGTATGCTCTTGGCCTGTATCTCACTTGGATTAATGGTGAAAACGGGCATAAGTGGTCTTTCCACAACACACCACTTGTATCGTGTGTTGGCCGCTTTATTTGATAATTTTGGATAGATATTTGCACACATTTTAATGTAAAAACGTCTCTGTTTTTTTATACATATTAAGAGGTTTAACAACTTCTATAAGCGAATTGCAAAACGTTGTATTAATGTCAGTATACCAAGTTACCAACTAGTTTACAAAATTAAATGTGTTATAGGGTACATTATATCAATTATAAGAAATGTGTATCATCGTAACTTCAGTTAATTATAACTCCATAAGTAGATAACATAATTATAATTACTCTACAATTCGTATTACAAAAGCAATTAAAGCTTCATATAAACTCTATAATTAGATAAATTCAATTTAATATACCTTATTGAGGTCGGATTTGTTATATGGGCTCTAACTACATAATGGCCTTTGATATCATTCAATAATAAAATCCGTGAGCTTAATTTAAATATTTTTTGACAATTTTGTGCCGGCCATATAAAGCATAGCATACATTTTTTTAACCATAATACCTATTTATTTTAAAGATAAATAATAGTTTAAGTTATTCCTTGTGTTCGATACATTTAATGGCATTTAATTATAAGTAAATTAGTTAATAATAATTAATTATAACTTGTATAAATGTATTAAAAAATATAAATCTATAAATATTTTCTTTACTTTTACCCATACTAAAATTAACTTCTAAATTAAGGAAAATGACATGTTTTTCAAATAGGTTAACAAAATGATGGCGAAGGAATTTATTGACTTTTAAATGAGTTAGAAGGAAAAAAGTTTCGTGGAATTCGTTTGATTTTGCATGCAAATGAATTTCCTGATGGTTTCATGAGAAGCCTCCTGGACATCGTAACTCATAATTTGATTTTTATACCTTGATATTTATCTTTGATTAAAAATATACTTCGTAACTCAAATACGACGAACGAACTACAGTGAATCAGATATATGTTTTTAGCAAAATGGCCTTTATTACATCAAGTTATAAAAATATCCTTGGACATTTTACACTGTGCCATCTAGCTCCTACCTTCCTAAGCAGAGCCTGTACACAACTTTGTTTATAAACTTTATTTGTAAATAGGTACTTACATAGATATAAAACACTTAATATACCCAAATGTTTAAAAAAAACTCAGAGCGATATTGTAAACTAAAGCAACGTCGATTTGTTATAAGTTTCGTCGTTGAATGTTAGTTCCTCACCAACATTAATAGGTAAGCTTAATTTGTTATAAATAACTCTATGAAATGTGTCGAATTTATAATAATTTTTTAATTTGACAAAACTTCTCTGTAGCAAATCGATAACCCATCTTATGTAGTTATGATAGAAGTTACTTTGCAACGAAAATGTATTCTAACACGCTGTAGGTACATTTTGGAATAACAGATGACGGTGATTAATTCGAGCACACCTTCTAATTGGAGTTTTGTTTCAATTAGCCAGGGTATTTTGGGCTTCTAATTACCTTGGAGCAACCAAGAGCAAACGAAGCTTATGAAAAGTACACATTGCCTTTCCCAATAATTATAAAATCTAAATAATTGTACTTACAAATATTGTATGTCAGCCTTTGATAGTGTCAAATTCAATAGATATAAAAAACCTTCAGTATTCTACAATAGACTACACAACTTACTGAAAATTCAGTTGATTTAATGATGATGATAGCATATCATTGAACCGAAAGCACTAACGAATGTTACATTGCCGTAGGGAGAGAAATTAAATGTTGATATCACAAGCACTCTATTTATTTACTTGAGGTCGAGACTTGAGGTAAAAAAAAAATCCCTGTCAAATGTAAAAATACAAGGTAACAGGTGGACCGACGACCTCATAAAGGCAGCAGGAAGGCATGAATGCAGGCCGCTACCAACCGGGCGATATGGAAATGTTTGGGAGAGGCCTATGTTCAGAAGTGGACCTCTTGTGGCTGAAATGATCATGATGACCACATTATGCAAACCGTTTCAATTTTGATCTTTACTCAAAAGCAAGCCTAAAACTTTACCTACATACCTACCAGTTTTGTTTTCACAATCTTAATGAGTTAATTAAGTTCTAAATAACAAAGTCATAACGTCGCCTAATTAAAATCCAGATTGTAAGGAACCTTGGACGTAATTAAAGTGGATTATAAACATTAGTAGGCTTATTAGAAAAAACAACAGGGTCCTTTGGTCCGTGGGTTATATCTTAATTAAGGACGTGGCTAAATGAAACTTTACGAGGCAGAAGAGTTTGTTTCTTTCTTGTTTCGAGTTCGAAAACTGTAGTAAAAGATAACTTGTAACGATGACAGCTTATCAAATCCACTTAACTATTGTGAGCATAATCTAAGGCTGAGTTGCACCATCTAGCCTTGACCGTACCTAACTATAACGTTAACCGGTGTTTTTTGTATTGAGTTTGACAGATAATTGACGGTTGTCAAAGTTAAAGTAAGTTGGTGAAACCCAGCCAGTCTAAATGTTCAAAAATTTCATCCATAATATTTGTAACTTCACACGTGGCTGTTCGATAGCTCTAACTACGCGTGGCTACGGCTTTTGGAGACTACTAGTGCCTAGTGTGCGACCAAACTTAGCTTCTCTCATGCCGTAGTAGTTACATATCTACTTCGAACTCCTCCTATGTTCTTCTGATTATGCAAGTCCACTGACATAACTTTCCCTCGGGACAAACTTGACCGTCACTGGTTGGGTTTGGCGGTCAAGCTGTAGATCCTGGCTACACAAGAGTTGCAGCGGTGGGAGCGAGAGGAGAATAGTCCCGTAGCTACACATCTCGTAGTAGTTGAAATTCGTAGCGCACATATTTATTCGTAGCATTTTAGTAATCATTAACAGCAAAAGACTTACGGCCAAGTAAATACTGGTATATAAAATTATATTTAGAGTACCTAAGTAGATAATATTAACCAAAGTGAAATGTAGAAAAGTAAAATAGAAGAGGACTTACCTATAGTAGGATTTTGTAGCAATGAAGATAGTGTAGACCGGCATTAAAAGATCGTAGGTCCAATGAACATCTGAAACAATCGATTTTGTCAATTTAAAAAACATTTCTACACTGAAAGAAAAAAATTACGCACTGCTTGTGTACCTTATTCAAACGTCTGTCAATGAAAATGAGGGTAAAAATTCTGAAAAATATTAAATAGTGACAATGAGTAATAATTTCCATTCTAAATGCCCTCCCCTCCTGCGGTTCATTTTACAATTAATTATTTGCCTCATACCTTCATCATAGTACAGTCAGCGCCATTAATCTTTGTTTTGTGGAGGTTACAAGTTTCTGACAGGAGGACAGGCCTTCGCTAATAGAGCGTTTTGTTTAGCTTTTTAACCGACTTCAACAAAAGGAGGTTCTCAATGCAGTTGTTTTTTTAGACTACAAAAATATCATTCATGGTCACTATATTATTTGTCCTAATAAATAAATAATGTACTAATTATAATTATTTTTACACTTTCTAGTGGACTTTTTTGGAGGCGGCTTAGTTTTTGAAGTCAGTTTTTTTTTCTTTAAATCATTATGGAATGTAACTTGATCATAATTTAAGTTTACAATATAATTATGGAGGTCCAAAAGCCACATCTACAGTTTCAATCACCAGTCCAACCATACATAACGGACATTATAAAAATTAGATATAAATGGAAAGAAAGATTATGTTAACATCATTTACAAGTCACATAGGGTTTCATCACTGTCAGTAAGTAGGGCTCAATCGAACTAATGGCCTAAGTGTTCTCTTTCCTGAAAAACTGAAAATCATTATTTTAAATTAACTCAGCGATGGAAACAAGAGGTAACAATATACTTTATTTATAGCAGAGTGAAAATAAAACAAGAATGAATAGGCTTTTCGCCCAAATTTCAATAATTAGTTAATAATATACCTTGATGCCTATTTTATACAAATGCGCTCTTATTTTGGAAAAAAATCTCATCTCCAAGGATTATTTTGCATTTTCAATAATATTTGACATATAGCCCTCAAAAACGCTCACGACCGTCATGGCGTCTTGAATGACGTCACGCCTTAGCAAAACTCGAGACATAATGTAAAATTATTTGTTGAGCCCTATAAAAGAAAAATATCTACAAATTTCGAAAAATCACCTAAAAGGTTACAAAAATAACCTTCTAGCAACACTCAAATGTTGGCAATGACAATCTGGCCTAAAAGGGCTTGCACCCAGAGCCGTAAAAAACTATATTTAAAAAGATAGAAAAAATGACGTAACGCTTTCTGATTGGTGTTTGTTGTCACGTGACTTATGGGCCATTTTTTCCGAATTTATTTGCTAAAAATATAAATAATCTTTAATTATTATTTTATGTAGTTTCGTTTTTCATTATAGCGGCGAAAGTTGCTCAACCTGAACTGGCATCAATAGGCACACGTGTCTTAGCCAAAGTCATTGATTTACTTCTTTGGCTCCCTGCCGCTGCGATTCCCTCGTTCTTTTTACAAGCAGATAAATTTGGTGAACTCACTGAAATTCAGCAAAAAATGCAAGCTGCCACCACAGCAACACAGGCCAGTGAACTGCAAGCACAACTGTTCAGTTTGATTCCAACTGAAGCATGGACCACCATGGGCATTTACCTGCTGATTATGCTCGGTATACAGGCCTTTTTCTTAGCAAAAAATGGTCAAAGTATTGGTAAAAAAATCACCAAAATTAAAATTGTAGACGTTGAAACCAACGAAAAAGTCAGCCTTTTACGTGTATTCACATTACGCAGTGTTGTCTTTATTGTACTCAATATGCTGTTCATGCCGTTTATTACCATCGCCGATCACGTCTTTGGTTTAACTGCAAAGCGTCAAACTTTGCACGATAAGCTGGCGAAAACTAAGGTCATTAAGCACTAATTTGAGCATATTTAAGCTGAGGTTTGGCTCACCTCAGTTTTCTGCAGTTTATTGATATTCAAAATAAATCCCTAAATAATTTATAAAATTCCGAGTGAAAAAATCGGTTTTTATAACAGTTATTTAAAGCACCTTTACGTATAGCTTAGTTTGTCGATATGAGGCATAATGCCCTACAACGTAGCGGTGTCTTATGATTGAGAAGTGTTTTAGACTTAAAAAGAAACTTTTCAACCATGCGACACTTTAATCGCTATCCCAATTTTATTAGGGAATGGGACTCTTCACCGAGGTTGTAAAATGAGACAAACGATTTTAGCTGTATTGTCTTTATCTGCGATCGCCGCGCTCTTAACTGGGTGTGGTGGTGATATGGTACTTCTAAACTCAAAAGGTCCAGTTGCACAAGGTCAATCTGACTTAATGAT